GAGAGGAACTTAGGTACCACGAGAAGAGGGAGATCGGAAGAGGCTGAGTATAAGGTTAGCTCCTGTATGTTGTGGGTGTATCATCGTATTAGTAGACTTATCGCTAGACTGTGAGGTACTGTGAATCCTTATAATATGGCCGTGCTACTGCCGGACTTAGAAGGGAGATGTTATACCAATCAGGAGGAGTATCTCATATTACAGGAACATTCTGGTGATCATGAGGATAGCATGGTAGACTCCTATAGGCTCCCATTATTACAGGGAATCCTCGTGATGGAGCAGAAGATGCAGCCCCTCTACCACCCCCACCAACCCAAGCCGTTATTGAGGCTCCTGGTATATCCCCAGGCGACAGTCATGAAGATGATAATCTCCCTCAAGAGGGATACTCATCTATTGCTGACCATACAGTGCAGGTGGATAGTTGCTCTGTGTTGGGTCTCGCTGTACATCTCTCTCCCTTAGGATGATGCTTCCTTTGCTGATCATGGTCATGGGTACGATACCGCTCAGAATGATACGGATATGGTCCCAGCTGATGCCCCTCCTACTGTTGATACCACTACCCTTAATGGTACACTTACTCGTCCCACTCACTCGCCCATCATGGCTCATCTTATCATCAGCAACTCTCGATCTAGCAGCCCAAGGTCACCACAATGTGGGCAGTGATAACCCTGTGGCAGTAGTGGAGGAAATGGATGAGGATGACGATGACGATGAGGTACCAGGTTAGTCTAGAGAGTTATTCTATACTTGGTATCTTAGGGTCAATGGACTCTGCTGGATCCATATGTAAACCCTGGCAACAAGCCTCAAAAGTGAGAGATGCCTGCCAACATACAAGAGGTCTCTAGTGATGCCTTGCTTACTATCTGATGTCAGGAGTATGAAGATAGGGAAATTGGGCAAACCTGTACCGGTGAAGACACATTCAGTCCTCACCATAAAGCTGTCCAATGGACGTGAGGCGTCCCCATCATCATCATTATTAGATCAACAGTGCGAGTGTCAGGGAGAGCGGCGATGAACCTGGATATCGCAGAGGATTCGATACTGCCTTCTAGTACTGAGAGGCCTGCATTAGTCTGGCAAACGATGGGAGAATATCCCGAGGCTAGTAGCATTGAGAACAAGTTTGCACAACAAGTATCGGTCCTGACGTTGTATCAAGAAGGCTGTATACTGCCCAATTATAGGTGTCAAAACAGCGTAAGGAGTGTAGGAAGGTTGTGCGACAATGGAACGAACGAGCGTCAATTGAAAGGCTAGAAGCACTACATTTACTCAAGGCTACTCGGGACGTAAAGTCACTCTTGGGACCCTGGTAGGACACATCTGCGTAGGTGGTTACCGAGGCAGAGAGAAGAGAGGAAAAGCCTCCACCTAGAATAGATGAAGGAGGGGAATCATCAGGTGGGGATGGGTTAGGCATCTTCTTATGCAGCATTAATATAGCATAGATTCCGACGATGATAACAACAATGAAGTCAGCCACATTGATCGGCGGAGTGTGGTATCAGCCCGATCGGTAGGGTGATTGGCCCGTTGTTGAGCATATCATTCGTTTCAGCCTGGTCTAAGCCCAGCACCCCATGGAGGGGATCCTTCTAGATTATCTCTGGGTAGCATTGATGCTAATAATGTCAGTACTGAGTACTCAGCGATGTTACCTGTTAGGAGAGGGGGTGATACAGGTAGCGTTAAGTAGGCATGACAACCATCTACTGTAATGCGCTCAGGGACAACAGCTGCTAGAGCAGCTGCTGATATTGCTAAAGAAGCCCAGTTTCGAGATCTGTTACGACAACAGGAAGAATATGCTAGCGTATATTGGCATGGCTGTTGTTGGTGATGGCCATGAGCCTATCTTCAGATCATCCAAAAGTATTTATTGAAGGAGTTCCAGGCGGGGAATGATACAGCTGATGGAGGTGGTGGTGGACCAAACTCTCCTGGCGAAGCGTGAGACCTCTGTCACACTATGCTTGTGCTCATGGTGATATATCGCGTAGTCGTACGGGAGTCGATCTGCTCAATCGTGACTTGGAACGGAATGCTCAGAACATCTACGCTAAAGTCCGTAAATGGCAGGATCAAGTGATGGGAGGGTGGGATGTTTGGATGTAGGGTAGTGCTATATATAGGTAGAACCTCTCCTTGAGGAACAGGATAATAGGCCACCTTTCACGTTGGAGTCCTATACCAAGTAATATGGTATCGTTATGATGAGCTTTATGTACCACACTAGTGAGTGTATTCAGGGATGTTATAGAAAAGGTGAAGACATCTAATGAGAAAATTGCAGAGGGCCACGGTGTAGGCTGCTGACTGTGATTATTGTTATGGTAACCTTGCTTATTTACCAGATGTCGAGATCACAGGGGCACAATAATAATGAGAATGCTCAAATCCTCGCCGCCGAAGATGATGATGATGACAGTCCACTTCCATCTGCAACTCTGGATGATATCCTGCAGGGTGAGCCTGCCTGGAATGTTGGAAGGTATCCCAGTATATGATGATAATGACGATACTATTGTTGCTAACATTCCTTCAGATTATTCTTATCAGCACTGATCCTCACCAACAATGGTAACATGGACATATTCGATAAGTCTGGGACGAGTGTAAGTTGAGGGACGCTATCTGTGCTCGTTAGTGATGATCTTGTTATTATAGCCCGACTCTCCCGACGCACATGAAGATGATGATGCTGAGCAAGGGGCTGCCAATTCAAGTCAATTAAGCGAGGAGGCTCGGGGGCTAGAGAAGAGGAAGAAAGATCGAAAGAAGTGTTACACTAGGGTGGATGGACATCTCTCCCATTACTCGTGTTAATTAGATACGGTATTCGTTTGTTGGATGCCGATAAGTGTGTTAACTATGATGTTGAGGAGCCTGATGATGTTGATAACGCTGGAGGAGGTCACCGTAGTAGAACAGCAGCAGGCCCTGCTAGAGGAAAGAGAGCTAGACGGAGATGACGACTCTATAAACATGATGAATAATTATTCCACCTGTATTAGCCACCTCCTGTTTGCATCCATTTCATCTCATTGGAACGATCTTGTGTTATAAATCACACTAATGCTTCGGTTATGCTCTATTAGCGATTGTATTGCCCATCGACGTCGTTCCGGGGTACACTTTCATATTCAACTTGAAAATAGCAGAACGTGTGTCGCTCCGCTCCGCCGAATTGTGAATAGTGCCACTTCTGCTACACCAAGATTTGATCATCGAATTTTAATACACTCTCTTTCCTTCACGCGCTAGGTCCATTGCTAGGAAAGACCGGCTGAGTTTGTGTATCGTCTTCGTTCAGTATTGCTTCCCTTGGGTAGAGTCCCGTCGTCGTGTTCGTCGCTCGTTGTGATTAGGGTGTTGTCGAGTATTGTACTCCTGTCAGGCCTGTTTTTTACACTTGATCATGAGTGTTTTTATTAGAGCATTCGGCAGCCGATCTAGTGCCTGTATACAGCGCATGGCTCCATTATCACGGGCCTTTGCGACTGTTGTTACCCCAGCTAACGAGATCGATAAGGGTTCTATTATAAAGCAGAAGTGGAAGGAGGATGGCCCTGCTGAGTATTGGGAGATCAACAATGTTAGACAAGTAAAGCAAGGCAGACAAGCAGCACATGTTTCGGTAATTGGACTCGTATTAATACTGGTTACTATGATGTAGTAATTATTCTCTATCAGCTCGAGTATACTAACCTAACCTCTAACAAGCCAGAGAGATGGAAGGGCAGTACTACAGCTAAGTTCAATGGTAGTATGTCACTTGTGGTGTTGTGGTAGTTCATCATGTATACCTTAGTTGTGAAGATTGAGAAGCAAGCCTGCCAGATCCTTTACTGGGATAATGATGAGAAGGTATTCTTCGTCCAAGATGATCAGTTCAATCAACAAGAGCTCCCTCAAAGATACGTCAAGGAGGCAAGCAAACTCTTAAAGAGTAGGTTGAGGATGACCGAATGAGCTATTCTGGTGGTCAGTGGTGTACATATCTTAGATGGTGATCAAGTTACACTGTGGCTCGATGACGATGAGATCGTCAAGGTTAGTATACCAGCAGCA